CGGAATGTCCGTTGACAACGAGGACACGTTGGAAGCGGTTGTGCGGCGGCGTTGCTTACTGGGCGAAGTTGCGATTTGCGGGCTTCGCGTTTCGCTTTGGCGGCGGCTATGCGGTTGGCTTCGTGGATAGCAGCGCCCGTCTTCACTGTTCTCCTCCATGTCGGACGATCGCGGGCGAGCTCTTCCCAGTTTGTCGGGTTGATTTGCAAACGCTTCATGGAGGACTTCAGAGTATCCTTGTAACGGCGAATTTGGCCTCCTTGACGGCGAGAACCCGTCGAGACGTCTCCGTAGAAGAGTCGTTTGGGTAGTCGTTCGTCGTCCATGCGCACCAGAGCAACTGCATTTGTCTCAGCATGGAGTAGATGCTGAGCATTCCTGTACGTTCTAGCACATCAGTGTCGGGGATGCGATCCTGCCAGTTCAGCCTCAGGATACGACGGAGACAACTGAGGTGGAAGTGATTCAGTCGACGTGCCTGCCTCGTGTACACCGTCCACGTCTCTGCTCCGTAAAGTAGCTTCGGCAGGATGACGGCCTTGTACATCCTCAGCTTCGTGTTCAGTTGAAGACCGTTGCGATTCCAAACTGTGCTTTGGAGGCGACCGAAGGCTTGACTGGCTTTTGAGATTCTGTTGGCGACTTCGTCATCGATCTTGGTGTTCCGGGAGAGGGTCATGCCCAGGTACGGGAAGTTCTCCACGCTGATTTGCGGCGCGTTGGGGGGAGGGGCCATGTTGGGTGGCGGCAGATTCATGACCACAGTCTTCTGCGTGTTGATGACCAGACCAAAGTTATCGCAGGCGGCGAAGAATAGGTCCATGCTGCGTTGCATCTCCGCTTCGGAGGTGGTGTTCAGGGCGCAGTCGTCGGCAAAGAGAAATCCGTGAATGGTGGTTGTGGATACGCGCGATTGGAAGTACATTCGCCGTTGATTCAGAAGGTGACCGTCCGTTCTGTGGGCGATGCGGATCCCGGGGCGTTTATCACGCTAAGCGTCCATCATCATAGCAGAGAACATAAGACTGAAGAGGATGGGCGTCAGGATGCATCCCTGCGTCACTCCGTTGGTCACTGCGAATGCCTCTGAGACAGCTCCGTTGTCCGTGACTCGCGTCATCATGCCGTCGTGGAGATGACAAACTATCTGAATGAATCTCTACGGACAGCCGAATTTCTGTATGATCTTCCACAGTCCTTCACGAATCACCGTTTCGAAGGCCTTCGCCAGATCCACGAAGGTAGAGTACAGGTGGGTCCGCATATCCTGACACTTCTCCTGAAGTTGACGGGCGGCGAACCGTAGGCAACTTTGATCGTGGAGAAGAAGTTCTTCCATTCGTTGCGGTCCGCGTGTCCTTGGATCTCCTCAGCCTTGCGAGGCGTCCAGGCGCCCTGCATCTCGTGCAGTCGCTGTTGTAGGAGTTGACGACTGCGGTTGAATGCAGCTAAGTTGCCATCGGTGGGGTGGTCTAAGTAGGCTTTGTATAGGCGGTCCTTCTCGGTGAGAAAGTTGGTGATGACGGCTTCGTTGTCGTCGAACCAGTCCTGGTGTTGGTGGCGTGCGCGAACGAGGACGGCTAACGCCGTCGACTGGACTGTGTTCCGCAGTTGACATCATCGGTTCCCCACGGAGGCGTTCACGGCAACGGCGTCGGCGACAGCGGGAGCGATTGCAAGGTTGTCTGGCCGTCGAGCTAGCTCGTTGCTGAAATGGAGATGGCGAGCGGGCAAAAACAACAGGACAATACTAACCTTACCTGGAGGTCGCTTACCTTCTGGTCTCGTGCGAAGCGGCAGGCGAATATGCATCTTCGAGATGACGAGGCGATGGTCGGTCCACCCGTCAGCAGACGCGATCGCCTTTGTCATTAGCACGTCACTCTGGTCTCGCCTCCGGACGAGGACATATTCCAGCAGGTACCACTGAAGCGAATGAGGATGCATCCAGGTGGCCTTCTCTCGCTCCGGCAGACAGAAGAAGGTGTTGGTCAGGATGAGACGGTGTTCTGCGCAGGTACGGAGAAGGAGCAGGAAATTATCGTTTGATCCGCGGAGACCATGGGGACTTAGCACTCCTCTCCAGGCAGCATGGTCTGTGCCAATGCGGGAGTTGAAGTCACGAAGGAATATCAACTTGTCCGCCATCGACACAGTCTCCAGGAGGTCGTGCAGGTCCTCATAGAATTTGTCACTTGCGGCGTCGGGACTGGTCATCGGAGGAGCGTAGGAGCTGATGATGTTGGCGAATTTGCCCCCACCCCGGAGAGGCAGACGGAGGATCATCAGCGATCGTTGATTCCCTACGGCAAACAGGGCAGTAGTTCCACGATGTCGATCTGGCTGGCGAAGGCGACATCCGCGTCTCGTCTCGAATAACGACAGTTACGCCAGTCAGTGTGTGAGCGATCATAGGAATTGTATTCCTCAAAGAATACGCATGTTATTTAGGACAGGTAAAA